CAGGGGGGATAGCTTGAAGCTCCGTCTCAAAAAAAAAAAAAGAAAAAGAAACTGGAAGACATCAGAGTATATTCACTAGGGAGCCCCTTTACATGACATAGCAGAAACTGGAAGTCAAGGTAACAATCTTTTGTTTTAGTATGTTTTTCCCTACTAGAGAGAAATTTTTTAAAAGAATATTATAAAAAGGAGAGAAGGTGCCGGGCACAGTGGCTCACACCTGTAATCCCAGCACTGTGGGAGGCTGAGGCAGAAGGATTGCTTGAACTCAGGAGTTCCAGGCTTGTCTGAGCAAGAGTGAGACCCCGACTCATGAAAAAAATGGAAAAGCCCAGCTGGGAGCCACAGCGAGAACCTGTAATCCCAGGGGCTTCAGAGGCTGAGGGAGCAGGATGCCACAGCCTGAGTTTGAGGTTGCAGTGAGCTACAATGCCATTGCACTCTGCTCAGGGCATAAGGTAGAACTCTGTCTCGACAGAAACAAGGCAACTGTGCACATATGTTCATCCCAACCCCCAAACCCCCTTAAAAAAAAAAAAAAGGAGGGAAGGTATAATTAAGCAAGCTGATTACAGTGGGATTTCTATTTTCCTGATTCTGGCACCATAAGTGCTAGTGTTCCCCAGGGTAATCCTGGGACCTTGTCTCTCTTTCTACATGACTACTATGCTGCCAACTAGTAAATGCCACCTCTAGCCCCATCTCTTTTCTATTTCCTATATATTTCTATTTTCCTATACTCCCTACAACATGTTCTACAGGTAGTACAAACTCAGTAGATCCTAAACTGACTTCACTGTCTCCCCTAGCAAACCTCCTCCTGCTACTGCATTTCTTATCTAGATAATAGCTTCTCCAGAAACACCAGTTCCCAAGCCATAAACCTCTCTCCACCAGTACCCACTGGCTGCCCAGGCCTGCTGATGCCACCTCCTAGGCACCTATGTCCTTCTTCTCTGCCCCTACTGCCAACTTCCTTCAGCTAGCAGTTCACTCTCTTACACCAAGACTGTGTGGCATTAGTGTCCTAACTAGCTCCCACCGTACCTCACTCTGTTGACAAGGTGCTGTCTTTAGAATACAAAGCTGAAGGCCAATCACACATGCCCATAGACAAGAGGATCACCTGAGCCCAAGAGTTTAAGACCAGTCACAGCAACATAGCAAGACTCCATCCCAATTTTTAAAAATAAATTAATTAAAAAGAGAATATGAGGCTTGGCACCCATAGCACAGTGGTTGTAGCACTGGCCACATACACCAAGGGTGGTGGGTTCAAACCTGGCCCTGGCCAGCTAAACGACAATGACAACTGCAACAAAAAATGGCCGGGTGTTGTGGCAGGCTCCTGTAAGCCCAGCTGCTTGGGAGGCTGAGGCAAGAGAATCAATTAAGCCCGAGTTTGAGGTTGCTGTGAGCTGTGACGCCATAGCACTCTACCCAGGGCGACATAGCAAGACTCTCTCTCAAAAAAAAAGAGAATATGAAACTGATGCAATTCCCCTGCTTAGAACTGTTCAGTGGTTCCCCACTGTTGACACTGCCAATAATCTGGCCTCCATTTTCTGAGGCCACACATCCACTCTGTGCACCATTAGCTGGGACCTGCTAGAGTTCTCTAAGAACACTCCACCTCTCAAACTTCCCTGAAGGCCTGGACAAGATCTGCTCCCACTTTCCTTCTGGAAAAGCTGCCTCTCCTCTTCCTCCTCCTCCTGCATTAGTAGCTTCCCTCTCAGGGCTTCTGAAGCCCTATGCAAACCTGTGGGGGTTTCTTTGTCTTTTTTTTTTTTTTTTTTTGAGTTTTACTGTGTGGCCCTGGCTTGAATGCAATAGCATCACCATAACTTACTGCAAGCTCAAACTCCTGGACTTGAGCGACCCTCCAGCCTCAACCTCCTGAGTAGTTGGGACTCCAGGTGGCTATTTTTTTCTATTTTTAGTAGAGACGGGGTCTCACTCTTGCTCACACTGGTCTTGAACTCCTGAGCTCAAGCAGTCCTTTCTTCCTGTCTCCACCTCCCAGGGTGTTAGGACTATAGGTATGAGCCACCATACCTGACTGTTGTCACATTTTCTTTTCTTTTTTTGGAGACAAAGTCTCACTATGTTGCCCTTGGTAGAGTGCCATGGTGTCACAGTTCACAGCAACCTCAAACTCTTGGGCTTTAGCAATTCTCTTGCCTCAGCCTCCCAAGTAGCTGAGACTACAGGTGCCTGCCACAACACCTGGCTCTTTTTTTGTTGCAGTTGTCATTGTTCTTTAGCTGACCTGGGCTGGGTTCAAACCTGCCAGCCTGGGTGTACGTGGCTGGTGCCCTAACTTCCATGCTATAGGAGCCAAGCTGACACATTTTCTTAAGTTATTTGTTTTTAAGTTTGCTCCTGTGGCTAACAGTGAGCACTGTTTCAGGGCAGGGAGCAATTTTCATTCATCTCTTTATGAGCAACTCTAGGCGGTACTCAGTAAACACCTGTGGGATGATGGCACAACTGGAACCAGGAGGCATAACTACCAACAAGCCTGCCTCACATGCTTACTGTCCTGGCCTACCATCCAAAAGAAAGGGAGGGTGTCACATTTCTATTATGTTCAAGTTGTTGATGATAAGCCTATTAACAATTTTGTAATTACTAAAAAGATTCCATTTTTAAAAGAGGGCTTTATCACACTAGAGGAAATGACAGAGTAGAGAGATGCCAGATTTGCCACGAGTCTTGTGAGGACTGCAAAGTAGTAGCTTCCACCATATGCCATTCCCTATCCACTTCCACCAGCAACATCACCTTCTTACCTATCCCCTGCCCTGTGAACTGACCAACTCCCAGCTCAGCCTGATTCTTTTAGCTTTACCCAACCCCACATCCACCTCCCTGAGTTTCTACTCCAGTTCTAATCACTGTAATGCCCAGCCCTGATGGGAAGCTTACTCAAAGATAGTTTTAAGAACTTAATAAAAAGCATTACCTGAAATTGCGATGGCTGAGTGCCCCACTAACACGGGTGAAGGGGCCCCAGAGTCCAGTAAAGAAAGCCATGGGATCCCACGATAGCAAATCCTGCAGGAAAAAGAGCAGGGGGAGATTGATTTCTAAGTCAGAGCCCTGAGAGTCAGTTTTCTTTGGGGACTTGTGTGGGAGATGGTACTTCTAGCACCAAATCATTAGTCACTAAATATAAATCTTAGTGGTTAAAAGATACAAAGATGATTAGCTGAAACTCTAGCTCAAATTTTGCTGATTCACATTCCAACTCTGGGGTCAGAGAACTGGAATGGCCTACAACAGTTCTTGCAGTAAGTAATAAAACAGCAAAGGGAATGCCTTCCTCATATCACCTTCGTAGACAGGAGGAAAACATGAACCCTCAGTATAAACCCAGACAGTGACTACTTCCCAAGTTCTCCATGGAGAGAAAACGCTCACTATGGCCCTTGTTGACACTCACGTGAATTCTGAAACCCTCGCTTTATCTCCCTAAAAAATAGTAGGTTATCTAAGCAGCTAGCCAAGTTGTCTGTGACTTCATCACCTTTCCCCTCAACTGTAAAAGCCAGATCATTGGTATGGCTTAAGCCCAGGAAAGGATAAGCAAAAGGCTGCCCCTGCCAAGTCACTGACCAAATTCTGTATTTGTGTCAGTCCCCCAAACGTGGAAAAACCACCTACACCATACTACAGCTAAAAGAGGACTCTGAGAAAGCAAACTGGAGATGAAAGAACAAACAACAGCCCAAGACTTGTGGCTCCAGTTTGCAGAGCCTCAACCCTGGTGCTCCTTAGAACTAACAAATGGGAAGTTGTCAGCATCACCTAGGAGCATGGTTAAGAAAAACTCCATAACCAGCTGGTGATTCCAGCGGCAAAGCACAGCTGTTCTTCCACCTAAATGTTTGGCTGAAGAGGGCCTCATTTGAGAGCCCTACTGAGAAAAGCCTCTACACTGTAGTATTTACACACAGCATTACTTTTCACAAGTTCAAAGCAGCTCAGGTAAAATTTTATTTAATAAAGACAAGAGGAAAACCACTATTTACTTCCCCAGGAATACCTAGACACTCCATAAATACTTATTAACTACAATTTAACCTTAAATCCCACACTTACTCCCAAGTGTTTTCCTTAAGACAACCTATGAAGCATTGGCTAAAATGTAATTATGATCAGAAAATTAAATGCAAAAGAAGGCAGCTAATGTATAAAATGATTAACAACTGACACACATAGAATCAAAAACTATCAGATGAGACCAGCTTTACTTTTACTAGAGAGGTGACCCGGACAAGTAATTAAACTGCTGAGCTTCTGTTTACCACCTGTAACACAGGGACACTACCTTCTCACAAGGCACTTATGAGTAATCAACGAGATGAGCCATCCAAAGCACGTAGCACAGTGCCTGGTACTCATTACTTATTAGCTGTCATCATCATCATCTTTTTCTTCTTCATCATCATGTCACATCTCATTTCAAAGATTAGGAAACTGAAAAGCAGACAGATCAAGTGACTTGCATAGAGCCCCACAAGGAGTCAAAGGCAGAACCAGAACCAGATCCATCTTGGGTCCAAGGGTGTTTGTTCCTGCCACACTCGGCATGCTCACGCTGCCGTACAAAGCTCACTTCATACAAGAGAGCTCTAGGTGTTCAGCAGATCTGAGGGTCATCTGGTCTCTTACTGTTTTCTTTATTTTTTATTTATTTCTTTTTATTTCTTTTCTTTTTGGCTAGGGCTGGGTTTGAACCCACCACCCTCAGCATATAGGGCTGGCGCCCTACTCCTTGAGCCACAGGCGCCACCCCTGTTTTCTTTATTTATGAACATTCATCAAGTGGTTACAATGTGTCAGACGCTAGGCAAATGCTTTACTTTACTGTCTCATTTAAGCCTCACAAAAATTCTATGCAGCCAAGCACAGTAGCTCCCACTTATAATCCTAGCACTCTGGTAGGCCAAGATGGGAGGATAACTTGAAGCCAGCAGTTCAAGACCAGCCTGAACAACAGAACAAGACCCTGTCTCTACAGAAAAATGTAAAAATTAGCTGGGCACAGTGGCATGTGTCTGTAATCCCAGCTACTCAGGAGGCTGAGGCAGAAAGATGGCTTGAGTCCAGGAGGTTTTAGGCAGTAGTGAGCTATGATGACACTACTGCACTCTAGCTTGGGCATCAGAGCAAGACTAAAAACAAAACAAAACAAAACAACCTCTATGGCGACACCGTAGCTTAGGGGGTAGGGCACCGGCCACATACAAGGCTGGCAGGTTCAAATCCAGCCTGAGCCAGCTAAAACAACAATGACAACTGCAACAACAACAACAAAAAATAACCCGGTGAAAAAAATATCTGGGCATTGTGGCAGGCACCTGTAGTCCCAACTACTTGGGAGGCTGAGGCAAGAGAAACCCTTAAGCCCAAGAATTTGAGGTTGCTGTGAGCTTTGACACGACAGCTCTCTACCCACGGGGACAGCTTGAGACTCTGTCTCAAAAACAAAACATTAAAAACCTCTATGAAATACAAGGGTATTCTTACTAGCTTCATTATCATATTGAAAGTAAGGCCCACAGAGGTTAAATAACTTGCCCAAGGTCCACAGCTAGGAGTAACAAGACTGAAATTGGAACTACCATGGCTTCCTAAATCTATGCTCTTACTCAACAGACAGTAAACATGGCAACTTTAACTTAAATAATATTTTTCCAACTGTTAAATCATTCTTGTTCCATCAGAAATCTGACATCACACGCATATTTTACTCACAACCAACTCAGTGATGGCTAAATCAACAGAAATGAAGACAAACATCACGTGAAATAATTCACAATTTAAGTTCTGAAGACAAGTTTTAGAGTAGGTGGTATTAAGAAAACTTCACAATCAGAGCAATAACTAAAAGTTGACGTGCATGTGCGCACACACACAGCTCCAAAAAGCAGTCCTTCTGGTCCAGGCTACAGTTACCTCAAATCCCAGCCAAGCTTTCCCATCTCATGCTGGCAAGCCTGTGGTCTTGCTCCCTGGGAGAAAAGAGGCTCCTCAGTAACTTAAGCCAACACCACCCATACTCCCTCCCCTGAGAATTGCAACACTCCAGCTCTTCACAATGCATTGCTTCCTCAAGAACATTTACATTAGTCTATGAACTGCAGAAGTATCTAGGGGCTTCCCAGAACTTTTAAGAGTCTGGTAACATCAGAGGCCCCTCCCTAAATTCTGTAGGGTTGTCAGTAGATAAACACAAACCCAGGCCTCTGTGCTTTGCTCATAAATCATCACCACAACCTACACTCATCCCTGCCCAGCAAAATCTGACCCACTCTATGCATATTTCCAAGAAGTCTTGTGTACAACTGAGCATTGGCTGGTCCCCCTACTGCACACTAGTGACATCTGGGTATTACATGTCAAAACACATTCCCTGTGCCAATCCTCACTATTCAAATGCAAATGCTGAATAAATTTGGCTACTTTCAGATATGGCTGATGTCCTTTAATTCTACTTCTCCCTAATCACTATCCAAAACTCAGAAACTACAGCGATCCTGGTAACATAGCACCTGAGCTTACTATAGGAATTCAGGAACCACTCAGATGAAGATTACTTGTTCTGCCATCAAACTCAAAAGTGATACACTCATGTCTCCAGGGAACACTTCTACTTTCATAAGAAAAGGCCTAATTCAATGACTTTTCACTAGCTCTTTGGTGGATCCAAAATTGACCTCCAGACCCAAAGGACTCGGACATCAAATAGACACCAGTGAGCATTTCTATGGAGCTGAAAGTACAAAAGAATCAAATACATTTGCTTATTTTATATGCATGTCCCTTATCCCTCCAAAAAATAAAAATGTCTGTTGTCCCCTCTACTTCTACGCCAACAAAAGACCCCAGCAGGTCCAGATTAACAGTAGAAGTGCAGTAAATACTTGTTGAATAAAATCAATGAAGTAGCTGAAAGAAGCAAATCTCTCTACCCATGGCTCTACAAATTAAGAAATCCAGGTGCTGTTAGAGCACCTATCTGTATATGAGGAACCAAAACACGGCAGGCAAACATGCTTTAGGAGAAGACGGTGCTAGTCATGGGAGGATCAGCCCATGCTTTGTTTATAGGCCCTGGGATCATCTCCTGGGCCTGGTTCCTACACTGCCCACCATGAAGAAAATATCTTATTTGACCACTAAATAACTGTTTCAGACCAGGCAAGAGCAATGGAGGTAGCAATTTACTTCAGAGAAACTTTAATGGACCCTGATGTTACTTCCTAGCATAAATCCACTCCGTGGACACAGGACCTGACTCACTCCAGACCTAGTCTATATATAACACTTTGTTTCATAAGCAATGTTATTGAGTCTTATGTGTGCACAGGAGACTAACCTCAATGATATTTCCTTCTCTGTAACACTATCACTAAGAGGAAGTCAGGTATTCAGAGGATTCCAGTGTTAAAGATGGCTTTCCTGTCACTTCCTGGTCAGCACTATCACTCTCCTGTATTAGAGTATGAATCACAATCTCTCTCTCTCTTTTTTTTTTTTTTTTGCAGTTTTTGGCCAGGGCCAAGTTTGAACCTGCCACCTCTGGTATATGGGGCCGGCGCCCTACTCCTTTGAGCCACAGGCGCCACCCCCACAGTCTCTCCCTTAAAAAAAAAGAGAAAGCCAGGGGAAAAGGGTGGGAGGAAGAGAAAGGAAAAGGAAATTACTTAATACAACCCAAGAGTTGGGCTCTTTTTCTATCTTGCTTTCAGATCTCCCTTCAGCTGCAGAGGAATGGAGGACTGTGGATTTCAGAGACAAACAGGTGAGTTGTTAACTTGGCATCACCCTATAGGTCCCACTGAAATGTAAGCCCCGTGAGAGCAGGGACCACTACATGCTCTGCTCAGTGTTGCACACTCAGGGCCCAGAACAGTCCTGCCACACAACTAGAGCTGACTGACAATTTCTTAGGTGGACACAACTGATTTACAATTCTGCCTGTTTCCAGAAAGGATTGGGGGGGGGTGTTCTTGTGCCCTTCACCTAATCCGAGTGACTTCCAGCAG